TTTCAAATGCAGCTCTCTATTCTTCCCTCTCAACTCATGCATCCTGTGGTTTTCTCATTTGAAACTTTCATGGACGCCTGAAAATTGACATATTCTAAGGGAACGACTTCCTTTACTTCCTCCCAGATAGATAACCCCTCCCACCTCAATTCTGCGTATTCTGCGTCTTTCTCTTTTCTGGGAACAGATCCGGCATTGACTTCTTCTCTAACTCAGAAACTGGGCTGTCGGTCAACTCTCACAGCCAATCAACTTTCAGATCCCATTCATTCTGTCTTCCAGATGTCCCCTCCCTCAACTGCCCCCCAGCTCCTGTGATTTCTTAGACTTGGAAAACCATTTCCAGTTTCCTCCAGCTCTTAGGCTGTGTGAGATGAATATTTGACTTCTCCTGACCTCTCTGGTCTTATCATCCACCACTTCCTACTTCCCACCCCCTCCTTACCAATTGCTCACTCACCTTCCAGGTTCCTGATCTGCCCCGGGGACTTTGCATGTGCATCCCCTCTGCTTGGAAAGACAGCCTTCCCACTCCTTGCCTGGCTAGCTCCTGATGGCTCTTCAGACCTTAGCTATACCTCGGTGTTCCGGGAACCTGCCTTTGACCTCTCGCCCCAACATAATTTTACTCTCACTCCCTGCTCTACTCCTACATGTCTTGTGAACATTCCTAAAGACAGTTTCAATATATTTCTTTACTCTGCTGGATCATTTGCTCGTTTATTGCCTGAACTTCTGTGCCCCCGCTCACTGCCTGGCATGCAGTAGGTGCTCAATAAACATCTACTGATTGCAACAACTTGGTGGGGCCTCGAGCTGGGAGTTGGTGGCTCTTGGGGCCAGCTGTTAAGATGAGGCCCCTATTTATTCATTTATTCATGCAGGAAAATTCTCTTACCTCTGTGAAATTCCTAAATTGAGTTTGCAGCAGATTTTTGGCAGTAGCTTTTCCAAGTTTGCCGTCAGGGTCAGAAGAGTTTCGGAAAATCAAAGCGGCGGTAGCAATGGCTTTTTCCAGATCTGAACCCTTCTTTAAAGCTGTGAGGAAAGACATGTGCATTGAGGTCGACTATCTTGGAAATGACCTTTCCCCAAACAGGGGGCTATTTGTATCTTCCAAGGAAACTGTGGGCAACAGGTTTGGGAGGTGTACATCAAAGACACAATCCCTGGTCCTTTGCCCCCAGCTGGGAGCTGGATACAGAGGTTCCTGATCCTGGATCTTTAAACAATGCAGAACAAAATTTCCCTTAGTAGCATTTAGAATTGGTAGAATTACTATGGTACTTAACACCTGCTTTCTCGGTGACCTTGGAAAAACACCTCACCTCTCTACGCCTTGGTCTTTCTGAGTTGTAATTTCATTCAGTTACTTAACATACATTTATGGAACACCTAGTATGTGTTGGGCTCTGTTTTAGACAGCTTTCTCGCTGCTGTGAATGAGAGACCTGAGCAGAACAATTGTACAGGAGGAAAAGTTGATTCGGGGGCTCAGAATTTAGAGGTCTCAGGCTCCATTCCTCGGGGCTCGAGGGGAGGCAGGACATCATGGAGGAAGAGTGTGGTGGAGGGAAGCAGCTCACATGGTGACCAGGAAGCAGAGAGAGACTCCACTCTCCAGAGACAAATAGAGACCCCAAAGCCACGCCCCCAATGCCCCCTCCTCCAGCCACACCCACCTCCTCCAGCCACCACCCAGTTAATCCCATCAGGGTTCATTCACTGGTTGGGTTGAGGCTCTCACAACCCAGTCATGTCTCCTCTGGACCTTCCTGCACCGTCTCACACGTGAGCTCTTGGGGGACACCTCACATCCAACCATAACAGGCTCAGCCTTTGAGGTTAAGGATAACTCCCTTAATAAAACAGAATCCCATTCTTGTGGAATTTCTATTCTGTGTCAGGCACAGCATCCCTTTAAATACAATAAAGGAGAAGGACTTCCAGGACAAGTTCTCTGATATAAAGGAGGATCAGAGATCTTGCCCCCGGTCAAGGCGATCTCCCAGCTGGTTGGTGTGGCTTGACCTGCCTGACAGGGGCAGCGCTAATTTATTCCTTCCTAGTGGGTAGCAAAGTGAACACGGGAAAATGCACCAAGTACCATAAAAACAGCTCCAGACTCTGAGCTTTTAAAGTCACCTTTGTATCCACTCCTATAGAATCCGCACAGAACACTTTATAGCGGTTAAATGTTTAACCTCCACAAATAGAAAGCAAATCTCCACGGGGCCAAGGGTCCTATCCCGTATCCCTAGTGAATAGCACAAGTACCTGCTAATAAATGCTACTGAATGAATCAGAAGAAGGTAAAGAAACACAGAGTCTCATAGCTTTCAGCAAAGGTCATGGGCCACAAGAAGAGGTTCAAAGAACGATGTGTCATGGGAATAACGTGGCTTCTGTCACATTGCTGTGTGCTTGGTCCTCCGGTCAAGTACTCAGCATGTGAGGTCCCAAAGCAGATGTGGTCTCTGTTCCCGTATGTCTTAGGATCATAGTGGTCAAATCAGTAAAGATCGAGAGGATGTGTATGTGTGTTCATATGTATCTGTTCTTTACTTACGTTTCCACGTATGTATCTAGCATGTATATATGTATATATTTGCAACTTGTGATGTATGAGACTAACGAAATCAAAAGACAGAAACACAATTATAACTTGGGTCTGGGAAGAAAACTACTGAGATAGATAGATGATCTGGAAAGCCCATATGAGTAGATTAATAGGGAGACTTATAGAAGGAGAAGGAGCCGCCATGTCAAAGGTGTGTGGGGGTCAAGGTGGGGTCGGGGCTTTGCTGAGTGTTTCGACTCAGGGAGCTGCACAGGTGAAGGCTTGTGTCAAGAGCTGAGGGAAGACGGTTGTTTCTGGAGTCCAGCAGCAGGAACGGTGTTTGCCCGGGACAGGTAGGCAAGGGCTCGATCGGGCAGGGCCTAGATAGGCTGTGTGAAGCAATCAAGGTTTTCTTCAAAGTGGGAAGAGCAGCAGGGAAGAGTTTTAAGCACATAAGTTTTCAATGAAAGGTGAAGGAAGCCGGGTGGGGTGGTGCACGCCTGTCATCCCAGTGGCTTGGGAGGCTGAGGCAGGAGGATTTCAAGTTCAAGACCAGCCTCAGCAACTTCGGGAGGCCCTGTCTTAAAATATAATAAAGGGCTGGGGATGTGGCTCAGTGGTTAAGTGTCCCTGGGTTCAATCCTCAGTACCAAAAAAAAAAAAAAAAAGAAAGAAACTGAAGAATGGAGGAAACATACGAATTCTTTAGGAGGTAAATACTTGTTCTGTAGTTTGGACCAATTGATTTACAAATTAATAAGCCAGGCTTTAGGATGCGATGCTCTCCTGGGTCTGAGGATTTCCTTGGAGGCAGTAGTCACTGGCAGTGGGATCTCCTTTTCTTCTGTTTTCATTTTGGTGCTCTGGGGTCTGCTCAGGGCCTCTCACATGCTAGGCAGGTGCTCTACCACTGAGCAATGCCCCTGGCCCCAAAGCAGTGGATCTTCATGCTGAGAGTTGAGTTTGCAAAGCAGGATAGGGACCTTCCTTGTTTACTTCATGTTGGGGGCCTTTAAACATAATCTTATTTAATGCTTCAAAACCCCCCACAGAGGTGGGTAGTGTTTGTGCCTCGATTTCACATGTGCGAATCCTGGAAATGGGAGGTCAGTCTTGAGCATCGTGAGTTCACAGTGCTGAGAAGTGACAAACACAGCCCTTGAAGGTCTTTCTGGCTCCTAGGCCTCATGGAACCGTCAGCCACTTGAGAACATCTGTTTGCAAGTCCGGCGGTCGTGGAAGGCGCCGTTTTTCCAGCCCTCGGGTCAAGTTCAAGTGTAGCTGCGCTCAGCATCGGGACTCCGTCTGGACTCGCCAATTCATCCTTTTCCTACATCTCTTTGGAAAGACAGCATGCATTCCCCACCACCCCATAAACTAGCATATGTTCATGGTAAAAAACAGAAGTAGGAAATATTTAAAATAAAAAATAACCAAGAGCCCTGGCTGTCCTACTCACCCTGATGATGTTTTGCAAAGCGTTTTAGTTTCCTGTTTTTAGGGTTCTTTAATAAACCCAGCAGATTGCCTCCAGACTTCTTCGCTCTCTGACATGTAGACTTGTGAACTGGTGTGTGAAGGCATATTGCAAAGGTCCGAGTGCAATTATAAGCATAAGGGATTGCAATTTCTCTGCTGGCGTCTGTCTTTTTTGGGGGGAAGGGGTACCGGGAATTGAAATCGGACACTCAACCACTGAGCCCCATCCCCAGCCCGATTTTGTGATTTATTTAGAGACAGGGTCTCACTGAGTTGCTTAGGGCCTCAATAAATGGCTGAGGCTGGCTTTGAACTCGTGATCCTCCTATCTCAGCCTCCCAAACTGCTGGGATTAGAGGTGTCCTCCGAGGTGCCCAACTCTGCTGGTAACTTTCGTTGGATGCCTTGATTCTGGATTGGGGACAGCAGGGAGGCTGCTAGGCTGGGTTACTTGACGTGACCCTCTTCTGCTATTTCCCTCATGCATGTTTTATACTTTGATACTATTGGACTGTGTGTGGTTCTCTGAACACCCTAACCCTCCCACAAGTATGTATCGGTAAGTATTTGCTGCCAAACCCTATGCTAGTTCTGGGTGTAGAACAATGAACAGCATCTGAGTAATCCCTGACCTTGGGGAGCTCATGTTCTGGTGGACAATAGTAATGAATGATCTTGGAGCCCAGACTCTCCACACCAGTCACTGCTCTCTGGGATGGATGTCTGTCATTCCACTGATGGATTCTTATGTGAGTCCTACAGGGTAGAGTCCTGGTATCATCCACACTTTATAAATGAGAAAATGGAGGCACAGAGAGATTAAGTAGGTTACCCAGAGTCACACAGCTTATCTGGTTCCTCACCCCAGTGTACTCTGCCTTTAGGGTTTGTTTATTTTTTGGGGGGTGGGGGCCATATTCTGCAGGGCTCTTTACCAAATCCCCAAATAGGGTGACATATCCCTTCTTTATGCTTCTATAGGTCCCTAAACATAACCTCTCTATAACCCTAATGCTGTTTGTCAGTCTATTTTCTTTTAAAAAATGTTTTTATTTGTTCTTTTTAGATATTCAGGACAGTAGAGTATATTTTGACATATATACATGGAGTATAATTTATTCTAGCTAGGATTCTGTTCTTGGGGTTGTATAAGATGGAGTGTTTATCCATTTTAATTGTCCTCTAGATCTATGCTGCCCAAAAGATATATATGAGTCATAATCATATTTTAAGTTTTCTGTTAGCCACATTAAAAGAACTAAAAAGAATCAGATAACATACTTTTACTATTTATATACATATTTTGGGGTACCAGGGATTGAACCCAGGGGTGCTTAACAACTGAGCCACATACCAGCCCTTTTCATTTTTTATTTCGACACAGGATCTTGCTAAGTTGCTTAGGTTAGGGTTTTGCTAAATTGCCGAGGCTGACCTCAAACTTAAGATCCTCCTACCTCAGCCTCCCAAGCTTCTGGGATTATGTGCACATGTCTCTGCAACTGGCTAATAATGTATTTTATTTTGCTTGATAGGTGAAATATCATAAATTCAACAGATCATCAATATAATACATTGAGAGATTTTATAAGTTTTTTCCTACAATTTTTTTTTGTACTAATTCTCTTAATTCCACATCTGAATCCAAAGTAATCGCCTTTCCAGTGCTCAGCAGATCCATGTGGCTTGTGGCTACCATACTGAACATGGCAGCCCTGGACTGTGTGGTCCCTGAAGGCAGTGACCACATCTGTATTATCTCTGCATCTGTGCCCAGGCCCTGGGTGTTGTGTACACGTGTTAAGCTGAGCTGACTTGAACCTCAAAACCATCCCCTGCCTCTCCCTCCTCCCCTGAGCTGGAACACAGGACACTAAACATCCTGCCTGAGTCAGATCCTAACACTTTAGTGTCAGAGAAGCACCACTCTTGGCGCGACAAGCTGTCGAATCACCTCAGCTGAGATCTTTTCCTAATGTCAGTTACTTTTGCAAGTGAGTAAATGGAAGATCCATAGCAGAGAAGCCATTTGCCAAAGCTCATGGAGGTAGCCTATGGCAGAATGGACAGCTAGGAATGCCCTTATTCTCTACTCTGGAGGCCGAAAGTTTCCCTACAACTCTGATGCTTCCCAAACTTTTTACTCCAAATCTGCCCTGGGCGTTAGAGGTATATATATAGCTACTCACCCTGCACCCCAAATGCTCAGGCAGGCCAGGGCATAAACCAAGAGAATGAGCACTCAATTCCATGATCTGTGCATGTTTGATTTCAGTGAATAACACTTAAAATGACATACTATTGAATAAAAACACATCCTAGGAAGCTGAGTTGTGTTTGTTAAGGCATGCGATTACATGTGGTTTTTTAAAGGAGTCTGGGGCTATGAGTGGTGTGTGTGTGTGTGGCTAGGGGGCAGGGGAGAGGTTAGTGGGGTTTAAATAGTTATAATCCCCCTTCAACCTTCCAGGGGGAAAAGTTGTCTTTAAAAATCTGCTGGAACAATTCTCAAAAGAGCCTGGAGGCTAGATGTGGTGGCACACACCTGTGATTCAGCAGCTCGGGAGGCTGAGGCAGGAGGATCGAAAGTTCAAAGCCAGCCTCAGTAACTTTAAGGCGGTCCTAAGCAACTCAGTGAGACCCTGTCTCTAAACAAAATTAACAAAAAAATTACAAAAGGGCTGGGGATGTGGCTCAGTGGTTGAGTACCCCTGGATTCAATCCCTGGTACCAAATTAAAAAAAAAAAACTCTATCTGGAATTGTGTACCCTTTAGAAATAGAAACCACGAGTCTGTTGTGTTATGATAGTGTAAACAATATTTACATCAAGGGGGAGATTTGTTTAAATAAAAACCTCAAGACTCTCTTCTGGAGAGAGTGGCCAGCCGTCTAGGAAGAAAACCACTGCAAAGGAGAAATATCGAGCTATGCTACTTCCTCTGTAAACATGTTCAGCCACACATTTCGGGATGAGCATGATCCAAGTGTGTGAGTGTTTTCTCTTCTGTTGCTATTTATGCATGAGACACCTTACCTATGCAATTGAATTTCAAGGGCAAGTAGTTCCACTTTGGGAGATGGCCACATGGTTGTCACTCAATGAACTGGTAGCCGAGAGTCGGTCACATCCTGAGTTCCTCTGAGTGTTTGTTAGTCAGATGCTCAGAGTTCTCCTCTGAATATCCTGAGAATGCTGCCCGTGGGGAGGTGTTTGGATACCATGGGAAGAAAGGGAACCATAGTCTAGTCTTAGCTTTGCCTTTAATGGTTTGTCTCACTTAGGGAAAATCATTCCTGTCCCAAACCTTTCAGAAAACCTTCATGAATGTTCGGTGATGTATCTACAGGTTCCGTCCATCTCTGGTATTCTTGCACGGCTGCTGTTCTAACTCACTCTGGGCATGCCATCAGGGTAGAGGGGAAACCCACACATCCGTCACCCCACACCTTACCTTTAATGGAAGCCAGTTGCTTGGATATTGAAATGCTGCCAACAAAATGAAAGAAACGTCATGATTCTGGGACTTGGGGATATTGATATGAGCACCTAAAGCAAAGCAATGCAACGATTGGAAAATCCCTGCTTTTCAATGGATATTCACTGAGCATTCTAGGGCTGCAGCTCTCTGTCGACCCGAATCCTTTGTTCTCCTGCATGTCATCTAGAAGTACTTGACCGTGGCCGTACCCCAGCCACACATCCCTGTCTTCCTCAGAGTTAAGTGGCCATGTGACTGGGGCCAAAAGAGAAGAAAACTCCTTCTGCTTTAGTCAGGTTTTTGTTGTTGTTGTTGTTGTTGCTGTGAATCAGAGACCTGATAAGAACAATTTTAGAGGAGGAAAATTATTTGGGGCTCACAGTTTCTGAGGTCTCAGTCCATAGACAGCAGGCTCCATTCCTTGGGGCCACATGTCTGGAACTCCCACTCTGAACTGTCATATAAAATAGAAAAAAAAATAGCTTCTTGCTCTACAAAATACAAAGACCTTGGAGTTTCTTTATTCTAACTGGTTAGCCTACCTAACTAGGAACAATCCTGGGCCATGGGAATATATTGGGTCATGATAGAGACCTATTCCTTTGGGGCTTCAAGTCCACTGGAGAAGACAGATATTAAAGCGGTAACTTGATAAAGAATAATGGAAAAGCACCCGCAGAGGGCAGAGAGGGCGAGCCTCGTCTGCAGGCAGGGTGGGGCATTTTGCCTGATTCTAAGGAATCAGGTGAGGAAGGAGCAAGAGGGTTTCCTGCAGAAGGAACAGTGTGGGCTAAAGCGTGAAGGTGGGAGAAAGTGGGGCTTGGTGGAAGAACCCGAGGAAACACGGTGTGGCTGGAACTTGGAGAAAGCAGTGGAAGATGAAGTCAGGAGCCAGGGCCAGACAGCAGGCTGAGCTTTGGAGTCTGTGGTTATTATCTCAAGGGCATTGAAGTACAGGGTCAGGTTTGCACTTGGGAAATTATTTCACCTGCTAATCAGAGGTGGATCCGAAGCCGGGCACAGAGGCACCTGTCTGCAATCCCAGCGGCTCAAGAGGCTGAGGCAAGAGGATCATGAGTTCAAAGCCAGCCTCAGCAAGTTAGTGAGGCCCTAAGCAACTCAGCGAGACCCTGTCTCTAAATAAAATACAAAAAGGGCTGGGGATGGGGCTCAGTGGTTTAAGCACCCCTGGGTTCAATCCCTGGTAACAAAACAACAACTGGAACAAAGAGGAGATTGGAAAAGGGTCCAGATTGTTGGAGGTAGGAAGATGGAGATGAATCTTGGTCCTTTAAAGCAAATCAAAGTTGGATGCTCATTCCCTGTGACTGGCATACTTTTCAAGAAAGCCAACAAGAACAATAGAAATTGGTCATCGCTTTGGCATTTCCTCTGGAGGGACTTTCAGGTTCAAGGTCCGGTTATGACATTGAGAAGTTGAGGCACCATTACCTTTAAGGGGCTTCACTTTTCTCACTTGTAAAATTAGGAAACTGGATTTTTTTTTAAATTTCCTCATTTTTTATTGGTGCATTTTAGTTCGGCATATTGATGGGACTTGATGTTCTATATCAGTACATGCTGGGAACTGGGCTCTGTGATGCCTAGGACCCTTAATGTTATGGTGAGCTCCTTTTGATTTTAGAAAACCTCTGAACCTCTATTGTTACCTCCTTCATGGGAAGAACAAAAAACCATCTTGTACTTTTCACAGCCTGCACTTGTAACATGGCCTGTTATTTTCTACTGCTGTGATTGATTTTCTGCCTCTTCAATTGTCTGGGACCCTTGAGAAGCCAGGACTCTACAGTTTATTCCCACACCTCCCACCTGTTATGGTTTGGATATGGAGCATACCCCAAAGGCTTCTGTGTTCATGCAGGTGGTGAAATGATTATATTATAAAAGACGTAACCTCATTGGTAGATTAATCCATTTGATGGATTAATAATTTGAATGAACTTCTGGGTGGTAACTACAGGCAGGTGGGGTGTGGCTGGAGGAAGTGGGTCATGGGGATGAGGTGCCTTGGGGATTATATATTTTGTCCCCGGCTCATCTTGCTCTATTTCTGGGCTACCTTGAGCTGAGCAGCATCCCTTCTGCCATGACATGTGCCTCACCTCAGCCTCAGAGCAGTGGAGTCATCCAACCGTGGACTGAACCTCTGAAACGGTGAGCCCCAAATAAGCTTTTCTTCCTATAAGTTGTTCTTGTCAGGTATTTTGGTCACAGTGACAAAAAGCAGGTGAACACATTACCTCTTGTCTAGCACGGTCTAGAACACTTAATTTTCAGATGCCCCAAACATTTTTGGGAACTAAAGTTGTAATTCCACTAAGGAGATGGAATTACCTGATAAAAAAGAATTTCCAATAAAAAAAAAGGATAGTTCATAAGAGAAACAAATTAAAATGACCATTTCTAACCTATCAGATTGACAAGAAAACCAAAGGTTTGGTAACACAGTCTGTCAGGGTTCTTGTGGGAAAGCTGAATTCATACATGGAGAATAAACTAGTGTAACACCAGGGCAGGGCAAATTGGCAACATCTCTCAGAGTCACCCATGCGTTGACCCTTAGCCCAGCAATTCTCCTTTGGGAAACATGTCCTACTGATATATGTGCATCCATGAAAAAAATGACACATTCAAGATGATTCATTTTGGTATTTTGATACAAGATTGGAAACAAATGTCTAACAATATGAGACTAGTTAAATAAAACATGTTTATCTGTCAAGTCGTATACTATGCAGAAAGAATGAGAATGTTCTTGAGATACATTACTTGGGGGGGGGAAGCAAGGTATGAAACAATAGTTTCTGTATGTAACTATTTATGCAAAAACAGTTTCTATGGGCTTATATTTCATTAAAGTAACTCTGGAAGGATAAAATAATATTTTCCATTTATTTGATCTAAGTTTACACATTTGAACCATGTGAAACGATTTCTCTCTGTCATGGGTAACTTGGAAGGATATGCTGTACAGTTAAGATCATTACCCCGGTTGATTCACAAATGTTTCTCTGAAGACAAAGATATTTGTGAAATTGCAGGCTCTTTCCAGTCTATAGTCAAAGCTGCAAGTTCTCTTTGTTTTTCCAATTCAATTTAAACCTGGATTTGGGTGGATCATAGGCACCAAACTTTCAGTATCTCAGCTACCAAGCTGTTGACATCAACTAGTTGGAAATATATTTGCAAATGTAAATGAATTTAACAAAAGAAAACCAAGTGCCACTGACCTTTTGGGCATTTTCCTTAGATGCTAAAGTGGACGTTGGGGTTTCTAACCGATTGGACTCCTCTTCTGAGCGGATTGCTTGGCTTTGGGTACGGTGTGGACGGCCACCTCTCCTCTGGTCCCTTGTGTGTTGGCCTTTCCTAAGCAACAGCTACTTGTCCACTGTTACTATTGACATTTACTCCATGACAACTACACACAGGCACTTCTTGAAGAACTTTTGCTCAGGGTCATGGTATGTGAAGACACCGAGTCATTCATGTGTTCCAAAAAGGTTTGGGGCCAGACACTGTCCAAGGCGCCAGGGGCAGGACGGCAAGAGCAGACACAGCTCTTGACCTCAGGGAGGGTGGTGGGGTGACCCGTGTGATAGTCAGCTTTTCACCACTGTGACCAGAATACCCTGCAAGAACAACTCAGAAGAGGAAAGGTTTACATTGGCTCATGGTTTCAGAGTATTCAGCCCATGGTCAGCTGGCTCCGATCCTCAGGGTTTGAGGTGAGGCAGAGGGTGGAAGGGCGTGGCAGAGGAGACCAATTCAGCTCATGAGCTCGGGAAGGAGAGACAGAGAGAGAGGGAGGGAGAGGGAGGGAGGAAGGAGAGAGGGGTGGGGGGAGGGAGGGAGAGAGAGGGAGGGGAAAGGGCTGGGAAGAAGATATATTCCTCCAGGCACCCCCTACCCACTATGGTTTGATGTGAGGTGTCCCCAAAAGCTCATGTGTGAGACGGTGCAGGAAGGTCCAGAGGGGACATGACTGGGTGGTGAGAGCCTTAACCCAACCAGTGAATGAACCCCTGATGGGATTAACTGGGTGGTGGCTGGAGGAGGTGGGTGTGGCTAGAGGAGGGGGCATTGGGGGCGTGGCTTTGGGGGTCTCTATTTGTCTCTGGAGAGTGGAGTCTCTCTCTGCTTCCTGATCACCCTGTGAGCTGCTTCCCTCCACCACACTCTTCCTCCATGATGTCCTGCCTCCCCTCGAGCCCCGAGGCATGGAGCCTGCTGCCTGTGGACTGAGACCTCTGAAACCCTGAGCCCCCCAATAGACTTTCCCTCCCCTAAAATTGTTCTTGTCAGGTCTTGTAGTCCCCACAGTGACAAAGCTGGCTAAGACACCCCCATTGCACTTCTTCCTCCAGCTAGGTCCCAGCTCTCGGTGGTCCATGTCAGCCTGCAGTGGTCCCCTTGATTGTTGATTCACGGACGAGGTCAGAGCCAGACCTCTTAACCTTGCTGCGGGGGGGGCCATGTTTTCAATGTGTGACTCTGGGGGACAGTTCAGTTCCAAACCCTAACAACTGACGTTAATCAAGTAGCTGTGCGAGATGTCACACCTGTGAAGAATGCTACGTAAGGGGGACGCCAGGAGATGGGAGTCCGGGAGTCAGTCAGGCATCCCGGGGAAGTGGCGCTTGGTGATGAGCAGGACTTAACTAGGGGGAAGAGCAGGGGGTCCATGTTTCCGACAGAAGAGGAGCCTGTGCCAAGCCCTGTGGCAGGAGGGAGCCCGGCACAGGGGGCCAGTGTGACTGAGGTGCCGAGTGTGGCTCCAGCTGGGACTGAAGAAGATGAGTGGTGGCCATGAAGGAGCCTGCAGACCACAGTAGGGGATTTTTAAAGCTATGTCCAAAGAATGGGCAGCCATTGGTGGATGTTAAGCCAGGAGGTTAATGAAGGTAGGTTTATATTTTGAAAAG